CCCGCCGGCCTCCCCGGCCGGGGCCAGGGGGCCGGGCGCCGGGCCTGCGCAGCACTCATCCCGTCGTTCGCCCTCATCAGATACTCACCACTCGGTTGTCCCGCTTCCCCATGACGCTGGGTCGGCCACACGGCACGAGAACCCCGGCAGGATAAAAAAAAAAAACAACAAAAAACAAAACACGAAACCCCACAACAAAACCCAGGCCACAAGCGCAGCCGAAGCGGGCCCGCCGCGAGTTCTACTGCCACTTCTCCACGTCGCGTAGAGAGCGGCGCCGCGCGAGACCCGAAGGCCGCGCCCGCCCACAGCGCCCCCTGCCGCCTGGGAGGAGAGTCGAGGGATCCCTTGTGGAGATCCCAGGGAACTGCGGTATCGGCTCCTCCTGGCTTACTCAGAGGCCGGTGGACGGGCCACTCCCCCCAACCCCACCCCGGGCGACTCCGCCCCGGCAGCTCAAGCCACGCCCGCTGGGCTTTTGCTTTCTTCCAACCTGGATGCGCTGAAATACTCATCCTACCGGATGCAATTCTTATTGCATCAAGTCCCTGCTATCAGCTAGTGCTGTGCTCCTGAAACCAACTCCATGTGCCCCTCACCAATACGTCCACGGACACTAAGTTTGGGCCGCCTGCGTTGTGCGCCTTTTCACTAACTGGGTGACTGAAATTGGATTTGGGGCCAGAAAGGTGGACGCAACCTCTGTCATCATCTCTTTCTCATACTGCCTTGTACAACAGACGCTCCCGATCCCCACTTTCTTTCTCAGAACTTCCCCTAACTCTGTCATCCGCAGTCCTTGTTGGCTCTCCTGTTCCATGTTCATCATTCCTGAGGAACCAGCCTTGCCTTCCACTGTTCATCAGGCTTTCATTCCTCCCTTTCCCCTAACTTAATGGTTTTAGTATTCTGGTATAGGCAGATATTATTTCCAATGTCATAAAACACATAATATCTATAAAAGAATATAGGATATGGGGCTGGAAATGTGGCTTCGTGGTAGCATGCATGCCTAGCATGCATGAAGCCCTGGGTTCGAAGCCAGGGAAGTGGCTCTGTGGCTCAAGTGGGAGGGTACTCAGCCATGAGCACAGAGAGGCTCAAGGACAGTGCCCAGGCCCTGAGTTCAAGCTCCAGGTCTGGCAAGGTTTTTTTTTTCTCATTAGCTCTTTCATTATCTCTCCTCCTCCCCCATCTCCTCCTTTTTCTTTTTCAGTATGTATGTGTGTGTGTGTTAGTCCTGGGGCTTGAAATCAAGGCTTGGGTGCTCTCTCTGAGCTTTTGTGCTCAAAGAGGACTCTACCACTTGAGTCAAAGCTCCACTTGTAGCTTTTTGGTGGTTAATTGGAGGTAAGTCTCACAGACTTTTCTGTTTGGTTAGCTTTGAATCCCAATCCTCAGATCTCAGTCTTCTGAGTAGCTAGGCTTACAGGTGTGAGCCACCAGTGCCCAGGAGTTTGTCATTCTTACCATTTTCTTCAGGGTTAAATCTACCAACTCTCTTCTTTCAACAGTTTCTTCTTCAGGTGACTGTTGTTTGCATTGAAAAAAGAACATCTTGGAAGTTTTTAAAGAATCAGTTTGAGGCGGCTCAAGCCACGTTTTGGTGAAAGGCCATTTCAGATGTTTTGCCCATTTTAAAATTGGATTGTTGACCTAATACTCCCTTTTCAGAATATGTTCTGAATTTCTCCCCACTCTAATTTCCTTTCCTTTTTTGCTTTTTGTCCAGTTGTAGGGCTTGAACTCTGGGCCTGGGCACTCTGTCTGAGCACTTCAGCTCAAGGCCAGCGCTCTACCAGTTGAGCCACAGTGCTATTTCTGTTTTTGTGGTGGCTAATTGGAGATAAGAGTCTCATGGACGGGCTGGGAAGATGGCTTAGTGGTAGAGTGCTTGCCTTGCATGCCTGAGACCCTAGGTTCGATTCCTCAGCACCACATAAGCAAAAAGAAAAAAGCTGGAAGTGGCATTGTGGCTCAAGTGGTAGAGCACTAGCCTTGAGCTGAAGAGCTGAGGGACAGCGCCCAGGCCCAGAGTTCAGGCCCTATGACCAGACCAAAAACAAAACAAAACAAACAAACAAACAAAAAAAGAGTCTCATGGACTTTCCTGCCTGGGCTAGCTTTGAACCACAATCCCCAGATCTCAGCCTTCTGAGTAGCTAGGATTACAGGCATGAGCTACCAGCGCTTAGCCCCCTTTTCATTAAAAAAAAATTATCTTCAAGTAGTTATACAAACGAGCCTCCATTCAACAAAGCAGTTTATGACTGCAGTGTGTCTTGATCAATGTCACCCCTTTCAACATTCTCATCCCTCCCAGCCCAACCTTTCCCTCACTTTTCTTAATTTTGCATGGTATATAATGTATTGAAAAAATTTGCAATTTAATGTAGTTTATGTCTACAAAGAATCTTGTTCTGTATCACCCCGTTAGACATTTTCACCCCACCTATCCCTTCCCTTATTTTGCTTAATTTTTGTCATATATACAATGAATTCTTGACTGCATTCTTCCCCTTTTTCCTCTTGATTGCCCCCTCCTCTTGGCCCCACCACCTCTAAAAGTAATGTTTTACAATTTGACCTAGTGTCATGTATCAGTAAGATTGTGTGTGTGTGTGTGTGTTTGAACTCAGAGTCTCTTGCTCTCACTGTGCTTTTCCTGCTCAAAGCTAGCACTCTACCATGAGTCACAGCTCCATTTCCAGCTATTTGCTGGTTAGTTGGTGATAAGAATCTCATGGACTTTTCTGCCTTATTCTGGCTTCAAACCACAATCTTCCTATCTCAGCCTAGGCACTGGGCTACAGCAGGAAACAAAATACACATTTCTTGCCCATATACAGCTTATTTTCTATTCAGAGCCAATACCCCTCCATAATCAACTTCTTTCTTCTTTACTTTGAATTAAAGAAGAATTAGACTGCTGCTTAGGGAAGATAGGTATTTTTTATCTGTAGCTCTATACTCCCTTCTAGTGTACCTTAGATTTCTGGGAACCTCCATTTGGAATGTGAGTCCTATTATTTTTTAACACACTTAAATAAGGAGACTACAGTTCAACTTAGCTTTTCAAGAGCTTGACTTGAAATACCAAGCAAGGACTCCAAACTGTACAACTGTTTGAGATTTTTTTTGGTAGCAATGAAACTTAGTTGTTGCACTCATTCAAAATCCTAATTCCTAATGAAATGTTTGATTTCCTAATAAAAATCAAGCTCTCAAATTTAGATTATCTTCCTAAGCATTTCTTCTAGATTTTTTAAATTTCAGTGTGACTTAGGGCTTATAAAAATGAAGATGAGCCAGGAACTGTTGGCTTATATCTATAATCCTAGCTACTCAAGGAGGCTGAGGATCTAGGAATTGTGGTTCAAAGCCAGCCTGGGCAGAAAAATCCCTGTGAGACTCATCTCCAATTCACCACTCAGAAAACCGGAAGTGGTGATGTGGCTCAAGTGGTAGAGCGCTAGCCTTGAGCTGAAGAGCTGAGGGACAGTGCCCAGGCCCAGAGCTCAAGCCCCATGACTGAAAAAAAAAAACCACCAAAAACTGGAAGTGGGGGCTGGGAATGTAGCTTGGTAGTAGAGTGCTCACCTAGCATGCATGAAGCCCTGGGTTCGATTCCTCAGTGCCACATAAGCAGAAAAAGCTGGAAGTGGTGCTGTGGCTCAAGGAGTAGAGTGCTAGCCATGAACAAAAGTCAATTTAAACATACCTAGTATTTTATGCCGAGGGGACCACATACATCAAATAGCTATTTTGTAGTATCTTAGAAGCTTTTCTGTTAATCACGCTGCTCATGCACATACATGGTTAAGCATAAGTAGGCAAACATGAGCAGAAATGATCTTCACGTAAGGTGTCTTCCAGACACCTTTTTATATGGCATAGTCTCACCTCCTGACTTACCACAGTCACCTCCCTGTCAATTGTTTTCAAACCACAAGTTTGAACTCTATTAGTGAGTTGTAAAATCAACTTTAGCCACCAGTAGTCTTAAAGAATAAAAAAAATAATAGAAAAGAAAGCATGTGTGAAAAATACAGAATCACTTTGTCAGCATCTAAGTGTTGCAGAACATGGCCTTGAGTCTCATCCAAAGAGTGTTTCCTTAGACAACAGGGAATCTGAAACTAGGTTGAATTCTGGAGTAAGATTAGTGACCAGTGGCTACTAAGTAGGCTCTTGATGGAATGTGGCTCTGAGTACAGCAGAGATACCGAAGGATCTGTTTGGGCACAGCTATGAAGAAAATGGTTCGTGCCGCGGACCGGGTTCTGTCGGGACGACGGAGGATACCTAGGGGAGGAACCTGGAATAGGATGGGGAGATGGCAAACAGACAACTCACACACATTAGGAGTGGATGCTGAGTGCGATTTAATGCAGAGGATAACAAACTTTTATAGCAAAAGGTCTCCATAAGAAAGGGCAAAAGGTTACATAATCTTGCTGCAGGGCTTCATTCTTGGGCGGTCACCAGCTGATCGCCTAAAAGGGCAAAAGGTTACACAACCTTGCTGCAGGGCTTCGTTCTTGGGTGGTTACCAGCTGGTCGCCTGATAGGCACGTGTTTTCCGGCTTATCTCTAAGAAATATAATGGGTTTTGATGTTTGTCACCAACTAACCATTACATTATTTCTTTAGAGGCCTTAACCTTCCCAGAAGATCTTTTCTGTTCCTTCTTTAATAGTAAACACCAAGGAGACTTAGATCTAGCAAGTCTCTTAGTAAATGAAAGAGTAATAGGAAGTTCTTTCTCGTAAGTAGTTATCTCAGCAATTGCCATACATTCTTTCTGTTCTAGCCGCGCCTACAGCTTTTTGAAAATCTCTTACAAACAGTTCCTTCTGCAGAAGTGACTTTGTGAAACCTCCAATACTTTTATATTTGCTTATGGCTTGTCTACTAGCCTCCATAAGAGGGGTTTCAGGGTAGCACTTAACTCTGGTGAGTTAGTCATATTTTTAAGACACTCATCAGATATTGGAGTCGTCAACACTCTTAAGAAAAAGCTTTAAATAAGGGAAACGCTGACAATGAGCAAGTACAAAGAGCA